TTAGTATTTTATTTTGAGATTTATCACCACAACTGTTTTTTTTCGAACAAAACAAATTTTACAGGTAAGGGATGAGACCAATCCAAACCCAAAGACTAGGACTCTCGGAGGAGATGGAATAGACCTTCAAGTAAACGTTTTGGGAAGCCAAGTGATGATTTACCACCACATTAAAATTGTCCTTAAGTAGAAAATCAATATTTCTTTCAAGTGGCATTGATAGGAATAATAAATGAAAATATATAATAAACATAAATGAGAAAGCAAGAAACTCTCTCATCAAAAATCCCATCAGAAACAAAAGAAAGCGAAAAACTCTTTGAAAAAGGATTTATAAAAATTATTAATAATTTTATTATAAGTGTTACATAAATTATTTAAATTAAATAGTTATTTAAATAAATATTAAGATTTTTTTAAATATTAATAAATAAAAAATATAATAGTTATAATTTTAACTTGTGATTGAGAATATGCATTAGAAAAACCTTGATAAAATTCTAATTATAAGAGGCAAAATATTGTGCCAAACCATTCAAAAATGAAGACGGTAGCCTGACGTTTATATTTTCCAAAGGACGGTCGAACTATCTCACTAAACTGGCATTAAATTCAACTTGTCGACTTTGGAAACAGATCATAAAAAACAAAAACAGCAACCAAACTGAATAATATACAAAGACAAAATTTTATCAAATATGCTCTGAAGCCATCAGATCCACTCTCTCCTTTTGCTTTATGGTAAATTCCCACTTTCTTCTCCGCTTGTTTACGTGTTCCATTTCCGAGAAACCTCCGAAACCCCTCTCCTCTGCTAATAATTATACCCACCGAAAAGTGAAATGACTTGAATTCGACACTTTTACTATATATATATATATATATAGACACACACACACGTTATCCTAAACTCTAAATTTGCGTTTAATCAATTTTCCTATGCAAAACTGATTTATTATGAGAAGAAAGAAAGAAAGAATCTATAGTTAGTCTTACAAAACCACCATTGACTGGTTAAGATGATATGGTTGGATATAGCGTTACCATCTAGACTGTTGGATTGAATTAATTAAACACACAAATTAATTTTTTTTTTTTTCGTTTTGTACTCTTAAGACATAAAATATTAATATAATAAATATAATTTTTTATAATTAATTTTAGTAAAAGTGTAAATATTAATTTTAATTTAATTAATTAAGCAATTAAAGTTATATATATCAATAATATTAAAATATATATTAATTTTTGTAAGGGTTGTGATATATGAACATTTTTTTATTACTTTTTTGTATAATTTTTATATGTTATTAAATGAGTAAATGCATTAAATATCATGAATCTCAAATAAATAAAAAAAATTAACCATTTAAATGACATGTAAAGTTGTACAAAAGATAAGGTAGCACAAGTTGTGCTAGTTTTTTTTCTTTTTTTGTGCATAGGAACAACTTTTTTGTATTAAATTTTTATACAACTTTCATATGTTATTAAATGAGTAGATACATTTAATATTACAAATACTAAATGAATAAAAAAAGTTAATCATTTAAATGATATGTAAAATTATAAAAAAAATAATATAAAAAAATTATTCTTAAATTATTTTTTATAATTTTTTTATGTAAACTAATTATAAAAAATATGTTTATTACATTTTTAATTTTAACTTATACCTTAAACATAGGACTACGCAAACCTTCTAAATTTCTTGAAGAATAATGGAATATATATACCTGCATTCGCCAGAGAAGGTCGCCGCAAGGCTTAACCTGGCGGCGGTTCCTGTAGAAATTCTGGCGAGCTTCTTCCACTTGGGCTCTTTCTTCAGGTGTACCGGCGTCGGGATCGAATTCCCATGTCTGTCTCCCTACGTAGTTGTTTGTGCTGTAGAGGTAAGGACCGTCCACGCCCTCTCCAATCTTCAGCTTCCACATTTTTGGTTCAAAATTCAATCAGAAACCGCTCACCTAGGCCTTTTCTCTTCACTCTGTTGCATAAAAAATGCAGAAATTCTTAAGTACTTGAAAATTTTTATAAAGAAATTAATCCGAAAACAGCTATATATGATGGGATGATGGCCGGTTATTAGTCACCTGAGAATTGCAGAGGCCCCTGTAAGCGTTGTCTGGACGGTTTGGCAGGGAAAGGAACAAGGAACGAAATAAGTTGAGGAAGAAACTTAAGCATGGGAACCTGAGAGAAAGATAAGAGGTACTTATATAGGTGGATGTGGCAACTTT